TAATGGGATATAACCCACAGTGGGCGTGGCTAATGGGATATAACCCACAGTGGGCGTGGCCTATGAGGATATAACCCACAGTGGGCGTGTCCTATGAGGATCTAACCCACAGTGGGCGTGGCCTATGAGGATATAACCCCCCAGTGGGCGTGGCCTCCCCCTTTCCCCGCCCCTCCCCCGTCCCCAGGTGGGCGTGGCCCCCCGGTGGGCGTGGCCGGCGGGGGGCGGGGCTCACTTGCGGCGGCTCTGGCTCAGGTAGCAGACGAGGGCGATGACGACGGCGAAGGCGACGACGGCGCCCACGGGGCCCACCTTGGCCCAGACCAGCCCCGCTGCGGGTCGGACAGGTGAGGGACAGGTGAGGGACAGGTGAGGGACAGGTGATATGGGAGAGGTGAAATACAGGTAAGACAGGTGACACAGGTGAGATGGGTGTGTTCAGGTGTGCCCAGGTGTGTTCCTCTCTCTCTCAGGTGCCCCGAGGTGTGCCCAGGTGTGCTCCTATCCCTCTCAGGTGTGCCCAGGTTTGCCCAGGTGTGCTCCTATCCCTCTCAGGTGTGCCCAGGTGTGTTCCTATCCCCCTCAGGTGTGCCCAGGTGTGCCCAGGTGTGCTCCTATCCCCCTCAGGTGTGCCCAGGTGTGTTCCTATCCCCCTCAGGTGCCCCGAGGTGTGCCCAGGTGTGCTCCGATCCCTCTCAGGTGTGCCCAGGTGTGCTCCGATCCCTCTCAGGTGTGCCCAGGTGTGCTCCGATCCCTCTCAGGTGTGCCCAGACCCCAAATTTTCACCGATTTCCCCCCAATTTTCCCCAATTTTCCCCATTTTTTTGCCCCAGGGTGCCCCCAGGTGTGCCCAGGTGTGCTCCTATCCCTCTCAGGTGTGCCCAGGTGTGTTCCTATCCCTCTCAGGTGTGCCCAGGTGTGCCCAGGTGTGCCCAGGTGTGTTCCTATCCCCCTCAGGTGCCCCCAGGTGCGCCCAGGTGCCCCCAGGTGTGCCCAGGTGTGCTCCTATCCCCCTCAGGTGTGCCCAGGTGTGCCCAGGTGTGTTCCTATCCCTCTCAGGTGCGCCCAGGTGCCCACAGGTGTGTCTCACCTGGGTGGTGGAAGCGCAGCTGCGCGCGGGCGGCGCCGTGGCCGTTGCGGGCGGCGCAGAGCACGGCCAGCCGGGGCTCCAGGCCCCCGCGCAGCGTCAGGGCGGCGCGGGCGGCGCCGGCGGAGCTCCAGGTGAGCGCGAAGTCGCGGTGGCCCTCGGCCACGGTGGCGTTGAGCCAGGGCAGCTCGAAGGCCACGGCGGGCGCCGGCACGGCCGCGGCGGCGCAGACGCAGCGCGCCAGCCCCTCGCCCG